AAAAAAAAAAAAGAACAGCTACTCAGCAAAAAGCAAAAATTAAAAATTAATCTTCATTCCATATGTGGGCTGTTACCAAATTTTGCAAGGATGTTTAGCAGAAGCATTCCTCTTTTTGTTTTGCCTCATAAACAGTGAAGAAGGAGAAACATTGCCTAAGACTGAGATTTGGCAAAGGAATCCGATGAAAACCGTCAACTCTGTGCCACAGGGTGATGTCCTTGAGGGCGCCTGGTCATTGTATGATTAGCGAGTTTTCTGCTGTCCTGCCTCAGTCTTCACGCAAAACTCGGCTTCTCGTAGCTCATACATGCTCATCCACCCAGCAGCAGCCTCTCAGGGCAAGAAAGGACTCTAACCCTGAGGATCCCACCCCAGCACCCTTTAGTCGAAGAAAACGTACCTATAAAGCAAACCCACGGAAAGGAAAATGAAGAGCCAGCTAGCTATTCCCTTTACAAAAGAAGTTATTTCTTTTTTTTCTTTTCTTTCGTTTTTTCAAGGGTTTTTTTTTTTTTCTTTCATTAGTTACATTTAACAGATGGAAAAACTGAGACTTGGAAAGGTTAAGGAATTTCACCGATTTTATACAGAAAAGGTGGAGCCAAGGTTTTTTGTTTTTGTTTTTTTTAATGCCTTTACAATGGATTTCTTTTCTTAAAATGTGACTAGCACACAAATTGGCAAGTGCCCTTGACTGGGCAGAGGGTGCGATGCCTCAACAAGAGGGAGGGTAAAGGTAGTGTGCTTACAAAACACAGCGTGCCTGCAAAGAGCACTGGACTAAAGTGAGAAAGTCTGGGTCCTCGTCCCAGCTGGGTCACTAATGAGCTATGGGACGGATGCAAGTCACTTCACTTCTTTGGTTTTGGTCTCCTCTCCCAGAGATGGAGAATCAATAATAAAAAACAAGCATTACCTACTTCCCGAGTTAATGGGGAAACCAAATGAATATGGAAGTATCAGAAAATACCAAGAAGACCTGTATTACATATACACATGTAGGAAAATAAGAACCACCTAGAAAATTACCAGCATCCATTCTTGCTCAAACTACATGCATTTCCTCTTACTAATAAAGGGATCAATTGGAATGCAAGAGATTTTTGTGAATCAGGATGAACACACAGCTCTTGGGGAATGTGCACTGCTGTTCTGAGGACATGTGACCCACTCAGGAACAGGCAGCCATGTTTGGGTGTCCTGGGACAGTCACACAGACATGGATCCACTCCAGCTCTACAGGGGATCAAGCCCTAAGCCTATTACTGTATGTTGACCGGACACTAATAAGATGCTAGGAGTGCCCAGAACACTCTGAACACCACTATGCCACAGGACAACATAGGTAGCCAAGTGTGAGAAACGTGCTGGAGATATAGGTCACCTTCCTGGTTACTTACAGGTGTCTCCTTCCCCATCCTACCAGGTCCGGATAAGTTCTTCTAGCACCCTTGCCGGAGGACAGCCGTTAAATGTCTTCAACAAATCACCGTCCCTCCAGGAAATCCAAAGAGGAAAATACCAGGACAAATCCTAACTCCACGCTGGACGAGAGTTGCTAGTGCTCTCCTCAGTGCGCCCTTGGCTGACCCAAGTCTACACTGCAGAGTAGAGCCCACTGTGAGGCCAACCGGCCCCTGTTCTCTCTCCCATTTCCTACCCGTCACATTCACCTGTTCTAGAAGTGGAATAAGTCCCTCAAACTCTGGCCAGAAAGAGCATCGTGAGGTCGAACAACTGCAGGGATGACCAGAACAATCGAAGAAAACATAGTACCTGGAAAGATCTGCGTGGATTCACAGACCTTGTCGGAAAAGCCAGTGCGGGAGGAGGGGCCTTACAGAGCAAACCACAGGGACAGCTGATTGCCCAGCAGATAGTACAATGGGGCTCAAACTTCAGTGCGTATTGCAATCACCCAGAGGGTGTGTGAAAACACAGAAACCCAGGGTTTCTGAGTCAGTAGCTGACGCTGATGCTGGTCCAGACACCATACTTGAAAAATCACTGTCACGGTAAATGGGCAAGAGCTGCCGGGTCTGTCATTCTCCCTGGGGCAACTTCAGATCCTGATTCATCCCCCTTCACCTCCCAAACGGAGCCTCAAGAAAACTCAGGATAGGAATTAAACAGCCATCCCTCCCTCTCCCGCCCCCCTGCCTTTCCCATACACACACCTATGCTGCTAATGGATGAGGAGAACAATTATCAACCCATTCCTGATAAATACCACCCAGCGCTGAGTCTAGTTCTCACCTGTGTACAAGGTGATTTTGCAAAAGGAGTGAGCTACATACAGTGCAAAACGGAGGACACAGCCGTGCAGGAGGAGTGCTCAGGAGCTCTCCCGGTCCAGTTCTCTGCCCTGCTGCATGATCCCTCGGTCCTGGGATGACAGTGCCACGGGGACGGTGCCAGGGAAATGGTGTGACCTGGTTTCCTCCTCACTCATTTATCCTGATGCGCTGCCACAATGCACTGCGACTGCCCGCTGAGGATGCACTTCATGTCACTGAACTGTTGCCCTGCCAGGCTCGCTGACAAGCCAGTGCAAAGGAAAAGTAGCTGGTGGCCACAAACATACTACATGTCTGGCGGGTGGCAGGGCACGATCCCTCAAGACCAGGATCAGAGGATTTCTGACGGAGAGGAGACCACTAAAAATATTTCTTTCCTTCCCAAAGCTGATTACATGATACACTACACTATTTTACTAACAGCAGGAGTTACTGCTACAATCATATTGTTTTGTTTTATGGGGGGGGGCAGTTAACGGAAGTTCCTACAGAGAGCGATGTTGTGAATAATGTAAACACGCTGGGGTAAGAGCCCTTCCTACAAGTCTCTTCGCCTGGGGTTCAAATGGGAAAATCTGGCCAGTATTCACCACATGTCAGCCTGACCTTTCCTGGCTACGGGACAAGAGAGGTTACATACATCTGGGGCTGCAGTTGTGGGCCTGAACACCAACTTCAGGCTAAATAAGGAAAAAGAATGAGGAGTGGTTCATTCACAGCATTTTGGTGAATATACACAGTGTATAGTGTTTGCAAATAATTGGCCTTTCAGATGATTTTGTGCACACAAATGGGCATATTTGGTGAGACAAATGTCACTCTCCCTCTCATTAAAAAAAAAAAAAAAAATCCAACTAGCTCTTTCTCATATGCAAAACTGTGCAATAGTTCCCAGGCCTCTGAGCGCCTGATCTGGTATAAACCCCACGAAGTCTTCTGAGTCAAACAACATTCTCCAAAGCAGTAACACCAACGTAATCTCCACTTAGCCCCAAAATTATGAACTGACCTCAGATATACCACGTTCAAGATATGGGCCATAAGCCCAAATGGCTGTATTCAGAACATTCTAGAGCACGAGAGCTCAGCCACAGGTGACAGTATCGGCTGGGGCCTCAAGAACGCTGATTGGATAATCTTGCCCTCTCCCTACCCCCCCCCCAAAAAAGTCCACTCATTTGCATGCACAGACGAGGCCATGCAAGAAGTGCCTTCACACCCCAGGCCGCCGGGGGTTCCCGCCCTCACCTGTTTTCCAGGAGTGTCATGCACACCACTTCTCGCACCCCAGGGTTGTTGGCCTTCTCCACTGAGCAGCCCTGCAGGTTCCAAGTGGCCAGCCTCAGCACTGGCCGCCCATCCCTTGTGCCTCCGAAGGTCTCCACGGAAGGGCGGGTGGAGATGATCTGGGTGGGCCCCCCTGGTGGCAGGTCTAGGTCCTCACTCTGCAGGCTTAGTGAGGTAGGGCTGGGGTGAGGCTTGGCAGTGAAGGTCAGGCCTCCGTTGGTGTGGGTAGACGGGGGCCTGGACCTCTCTGCAAACAGCTGGTGCCGGATCCTGTCGAGGAAGGCAGCATTGATATCGCCCATCCTCACTAGGTCCTCCACGCTGCGGAAGGGCCCATGCTCGCGGCGGTAGTCCACAATGCTGACAGCCATCTTCTCCGTGAGGCCTCGAACGCTCATCAGCTGAGCCGGGGTGGCCGTGTTGATGTTGACACGCGGGGTGAGGGGCCCGGCCGTGGCAAGGTGGTGAGGTTGCTGCTCCGCCAGCAAGTCTCGCCGCAGGGAGCTGGGAGAGTGCTGCGCAGAGCTGCCCTTGCTGCCCACGCAGATCTCAAACTTGACCTGCTCCAGTTTGGTGGCACCCACGCCGCTGACCAGTGCCAGGTCTTCCACCTTTTTGAAGCCACCGATGTACTCGCGGTACTCCACGATGCTGCGTGCCACTGCACGGGTCACACCAGGCAGGGTCATCAGCTCCTCCTCGGTGGCCGTGTTGATGTTGAGCCGCTCCTGATTCACCAGGATGTTGCTGAAGTTGCAGGCAGCGCTGAACTTGCGGTTATGGGACAGGTCCGAGGGGTCCCGCGGTATGGAGCGGTGGCAGCCCAGCGTGCTCCCCATGCCGGCCAGGGTCAGTGGCCCGGGAAGGCCTCACCCCCACAGAAGAACTCTCTGGCTAGGGAGGAAGCCCAACAACCTTACTGGCACAGAAGGAGGGAAGGTTCAGGATGCAGGGAATGAAACGGTTACCAAAGACAAACGCTAAATCTCCATGCCCAGGGTGTCCAAAAGTACCTTTCACTTGGCCACCTGGAAAACAAATTAATAAGCACACACATCGATTGAATCAGTTAATCAGTTTGCATTGGCACTCCCTAACTAGAGCAGTTTTAACCAGGACTCCCAGGCTGATGGCCCGTCCGTGAACTCCTGAACACGCACGAGGCTGGCCCATATGGATTTTCCTCTGGAGAGATGTGGTTTTTGTCACGCTAGGGTCCAAAAAGGCTATCAGCTGCTTCTCTTGCAAAGAGACCTATCCTCATCAGGCCACATCTCTGGTCTCTGCCTCTCTCACCTCTCGCAGCCATGAGGCCATCCCCCCTTAGGTCGCCCCCACCTGGGCCCGGGCAGAAAGGAGAGAGCATCTCCCACGCCCACCCCGCCTCCTGACAGTCAGCACCACCTGCAACTTGGGAATCCCGCCCTTACTAGGGTAGGTACCGAGAAGCGGTTTTATCGACCCCCACCAGACCCGCCGCCGGTCCCCGCGCCCCACCTCTCCGCTGCTCCCCCGGGGCGTCCTTCCACCTGCGGCTCGGAAGCCTGAGCCCAACCCAGGACTGCGCGGGCCCCCCGCCTCCAATCCTGGTGCCCGTGCGTGTGCGGGTCAGTGGCTGGGCCTCCTCGAGCCGCGCGTCCCGGCTCTTTCTGCGGGAGAAACTCTCAGAGTCGCTCTCCCAGAGCCGGCAGGAGCTGCAGGGCTGCGCGGAGGCGGCAGCGGCGGCGAAATCCGACCGCCGTGGCTGCACCAAGTCTTGAGGCTGCACCAGGACTTGCGGCGTCGCCGCAGTTGCGTTGATCGAGGCGAAAAGTCCTGCGCCCGACTCGGACGCGGGATCCGCCAGGACCGCGTCGGTGCCCAACACCAGAGCCACAGCTCCAGCTCGCCGTCCGTGTCAAAGCCAAAGTCCTGGCCGCGCCGCCCGCGCCTCCGCCGGCACCACGGCCACGCCTCCCCCCGCGCGGCAACTCCCCCCGGGACTCCAGAGGGAACGTGGGGGCGGGGCCCGAGCGCCAGACCTGAGCCCGAGAGAGCGGAACCCGAGAGCGCTGGGGCGGGGCCCTGGAGTGCGGGGGCGGGGCCCTGGAGTGCGGGGGCGGGGCCAGAACGCGAGAGGGTGGAGTGCAGAGCCGGGGAGTGTGAGAGGCGGGGCCCTGCTGCGCGGGGGCGGACAGAGCGCGTGGGGGTGGAGATGGAATGCGGGAGCGCAGGGGCGGGGCCACGGCGGGAGGGAGTGGGCCCCGGGGACGCGGAGGCGGGATTTAGGGACCGAATGGGCGGGGCGGATGCTCCGGCGGCAGCGGCGGGTCACACCGAGGTTGCCCTGGGTCCTGCAGCTCCTGAGTGGAGGTTGCTACCAGAGACCCAGGGCTGGATATGCGGGATGGAGGGTGTTTAATCTTGCCCGAGGCGAGACCTGCCAAGCTGCTTTACGGCAAGAAGAGCCCCAAAGAAGAGAGGGGCGCCCAAGACGCAAACACTACCAGGCCACCAGCCTGAGTTTACATCATCTTTGGGGCGTGGGGCAGGATCTGGGCACTCCTTGTGGCGAAGGAGACCCTGCATGTCAGGGGCCTCGCTCAGTTCTGCATTCGCATGAGAACGTTCCCGGGGGGCGGGGGGAGCTGAATGGGATCTTTTTAACTTCTGCTCCCCACTTTCCACCTCCTCTTTTCTTCCACTGGAGAATTACCTTTGCACTGCTCACAGAGAGATGTCCTCAAACAATGTTAGTAACGCACCGTGCTGCTAGGAGAGGGCATGCACCACAGATTATTTAGAGATGTGTTCGAAGACGTCACTTGATAGGGTTGCTTGTTTGAATGTATAGCGCTCTGAGTAAATAGCGATATGTTTCTCTAAGTATTAAATCTAATCATTAAGGAGACTGAAAATGCTAGTTGGAAATGGAGATTGCTTACCAAAATTCAAAACAGTTTTTGGATCATACCACTAAATGACAATTTAGTTAAAGATTAAAGAGTCTGCTGAATTACAGCGGATACACGTAGCTAGAGTATTCGATTAAACAAACCACGAGGTGATAGTTTTGAATACTTTGACCCTGGACATTTAGTGTCCTCTGAAGTTTCATCTCCCAACCAATGTGACCAATGCTCCTGCTTTAAATTCCCAGGGCTAGGTCAGCAAAAACAGTAACTCTTAGGGAAGGCAGAAAGTACTCCAGATGTGAAATGAGAGGCAGCCAAAGCTTGACAAAATGCTATTGCCTTTCTGAGGCACATTCCCCTACTGTGCATACTAGTCAGGACTTAACTGCAAGTGACAGATATCCAAGTTACACTAGCGTAAACAAAAAACAACAAAAAAAGAGGGGTGTCCGTGTTGTTGTGTGCAAAAGTTAAGGAATGGCGCTTATGTCAAGCATGGCTGCATCCAGCTCAAATGATGCCATCAGGACCTGGTCTGACTCCCTCCTTCTATCCCCACCCCGCAACTCCAGTACTAAACTACATCATGCCACTCATTTCCTCCTGTGATCCTGTTGGCGATACGAGAAAAAATGTTCAGGAAAAGCACAAAAATCCCTTGGAGAGGAGGAAAGTCTTTGTTGAGCAGAATGCCTTGATGAGCCTTTGTGGCTGTGGACAGACAGCCTGGGGGCATGACCAGTTGGAATAGAAGTAGAGAAATCACATATTTTCTTACACAAACCAGGACACTTTACAGGGTAAAAGGGACACTATAACGTCACTGGCACAGCAGGCCTAACCTGGTTAATCTAAGCATATGTTAACCTGGTTCATCTAAACATATGTGCCCCCTTGGTAGAAATGAATCCAAGAGCTGGCAAAACCTCTGTGCATTGAAACAAACAAAACCACAACAACATGATCAAATTTAAAATGACTGGCCATACCAAATGTTGATGAGGATATAGAGCAATTGAAACTCATACGTTGATGGTAGGAGTGTGAGACAGTCTAACCACTTTGGAAATCAGTCTGGCAGTTTCCTAAAAAGTTAAACACTCATCTACCATATGACCCAACCACTCCACTCTTAGGTTTTTACCAAAGAGAAATGAGAGCACGAAACCCAGAGACTTGTACATGAATGTTCTAGGAGCTTTGTTAAAGCCAAAAACCAGAAACAACCCAAATCCACCAGTAGATGAGTAGATAAACAAGTAGTGGTATATGCATATGATGTAATACTACCCAGCAATAAGGACAAACTATTAATACACACATTATTGAAGAATCTCGAAATCATGATACTGAACGAAAGAAGCCAGGCAAAAAAATGAGAGAACATATTGCTTGATTCCATTTATACAAAACTCTAGAAAATACAAGCTAATCTATATGCAGAGAAAGCAGATCAGCACTTGCTTGGGGTTGTGATGGATGAAGGAGTGGATGAAAGGGCATAAGGAAAGTGGGGGGGGGGTGATGGAAATGTTGTTGAAGAGGTCATGTTTTCAGGAGTGTGTGCATGTCAAAACAGAGAATTGAACCCTTTAAATATGTGCAGTTTAGTGTTCTTCAATTATGCCTCAACAAAGTTGAAAAAAACCTTCAAAAGATAAAAAGGACTGCTCTTTGAACTAGAAGAGGAAGAAAAAGAAGAGGAGGATGAGGAAGAGAAGAAGGAAGAAGGCAGGATTATTTGGGGAGGAGGAGTAGATGAGGTGTAAGGAAGGTGAGGAGGAGGGAGGTGAAGGGGAGCAAAGAGACCCAGGAAGAAGTTGAGTCTGGAGTGAACAGAAGAAAAGACCAGTGAACATGCCCAGTTAGGGATGGGGCCCCAGGAGAGGGGATACCAGAGACTTTAAGACTAATGTCATGTCTGACAGTCTGTTTTATCTGCTGTGCTCTTCTCTGATGTAACCCCCACACTTACCACCCTGCATCTTTAATAAGAAAGGTAATGGCTTTGAATGAGTGCTGTTCAGGTAGGGGAGAGAAGTCAGGTAGGGGAGCTGAGCCTCTCTGGGTAGATACGGGATAGCAAGAAGGGAGCAGCTGAAATATGCAAGATGAGAGAAAGATCCAGGATTCACTGGAACAAAATCCCAGTCAGAGTGACCTGGCGACATGTCTGCCTTTCACGAATCCCCACTGAGATTGGGAACTTGGCTGGGGGCCCTGCTACCCAGGGGATGGAAGTTTGAGCGGTGTCATGTGACCATCCAAGGGCAGGGAGCTAGGGCCTGGCTGACATCTGTGTTAGAGGAGTCTGGCAGAGGGCAAGGGTCCCATCATTCCTGCTGAGCGCCACAGCCTGTGGCCACTGGTCCTTACAACAGAGATCTCACCTGGGGCCTTGGTCAGAGGGACAGAGTGATGGAGGTCACTGTCCTGCTTCTTAGTTGGTTTCAAAGGTAAAAGGTGGTTCAGGGGAAGGGAGAGGTGGTGGAAGGGAAGAAGGGAAAGCAGTTTTCGATGTTCCACTTCAACATCCATGGCTCTGGAGATATGGTATGAGTGTCATGATCTTTGCCAATGGCCTTGAGAGACCGGCATTCGCCCTACGTGGCCTCCTCCTCAGCAGAGATGGTCAAGAGGCCCTGCAGTGTGTGGGACTTAGTGCTAACAACACTAACTTACTACATAAAAAAAGAAAAAAGGAATGAAAAGAAGCAGGAGAGAGAAATGAGAAAAAAAGAATATTAGAAAATGAGAACTAAGCAAAAAGTGAAAAGGATTAAAATAATAAAGAAAAAAATTGAAAATGAGAAAAAGCAAAAGGTGATAAGGAATAAAGCAAAAAAGCAACACTGGGAAAAGACTAAAAGTAAAGAAAGAAAAAAAATTTAAAACTAAAATAAAAAGAAAAAATGAGAAAATTAAAAATTTAAAAAGAAAAAGACGAAAATAGAAAAAGGGTAAAAAGTAGAGGAAGACGAAGAAAAAATGACAAGCACCATATACTGTGATATTGTGATATATGAAGAAATATATATTTTGTCTTCATCCCCAGTCCCTGGGGCAGAGCTTCTAAAACCCTAACTATTTCCAGAGTGGTAAGGGTGAAAGGAACATCTTTTGTTATTCATAATAAGCCCCTTCAAAACCAGACAGGAGTTTATGTTAATGAGATGAGTGGTGGCTTGGAGCCCCTCGGTAGCTTTAGAATGGGGGCAGGTTGCCAGAGAAACCGACCACATGATTGGTTGGAACTTCTTTCAGCCACTTCTCTGCTTCGCAACCCCCCTCGTCCCCCAATTTCCAAGGAGAGAAAAGGGACTAGGGATTAATCACCAATGACTAAGGATTTAATCAAACTTACCTATAATGGAACCTCCATAAAAAGCCCTAAGTGAAGGGGTCAGAGCTTCTGAGTTGGTGAATGCGCCCAGGTGCCAAGAGGGCGGAACACCACGAAACTCCGGAACAGGAGCTCCTGAGCTTGGGAGCCCTCCACGTTGTCATGTGTAGCTCTTCATCTGTCTGTCAGCTTGGATCCTTTCTAACTAACCAGTAATACCAAGCAAAGTGTTTCCCAGAGTTCTGTGGGCTATTATAGCAAAGGATCAGCCCCAGGATGGGGTGGTGGAAACCACCAATTTGCAGCCACATTAGAAGTGAGGGTGAACTAACGACTTAACTACTTGCAATTGGCATCTGGAGGGGAGTCAGTCTTATGGGACCCAGCCCTTTAATCTGTGGGGTCTGCGCTAATTCTGGGTAGTGTCGGAATTGAATTAAATTACAGGACATTCAGTCGGTGTCTGCAGAAAATTGGAGAGTTGCTCGGTGTGAAAAACACACACATCTGGTGTCAACAGGGTTGTGAGTAGAGAAACAGTTTTCTTTTACAGACAAAAATTGAAGAAGGAAAAAAAGTTAACCTTGGTGAAAGTCCCTCAGGTGAGCAAAGCCAGCTTCCTAAACTAGAAGGACCAAAAACCTAGGCCCAGCCAGAGACTTTTATAGATGCTCGGAATTAAGTAACAATGGCTCCTTAGGAGTCATAAGCAA